TCAATACAACAAGTTTTACTTTTTTCAATCGGTTTGCAATGTCTATTGTGGATGGTCGATTTCTCATCATTATTTCCTGTCGTCTCTCATTTGCACTAGCTCGTTTTTGTTGAAATATTTCATCTCGAGCATACGAAACTGTCACAGTTGGTTGATAACGTGGTGTTTGCTTTGCAATATCACCAAATCTAAAAGAAAAATCAATAAATTAATCGAACAACCGTGGTTTTTTTATTATTGTTCATACCTGCGATCAAGTGAAAATTTGGTAGCATTTTTTAAAACGATTTTTGTCGTAACACCTGTCATGACTTTAAACAATGATATTCAGTTTAATTCGATGTTTTTCTCTAGAAAAAAATACAAGATACAATAAAATATAACTAACTTGTCAAAAAAACCCATTAATCAGGGATAGGTCGAACAGCTCACTGTTGAAGCTGCTCAGAAACAATGGCACATATCATAGTTAAACCTTATTGGAGAAGGGTAAAAACACAAGTGTAATCTTTCAGTGACTGAATGAATGAATGTATGATAAATCTACACAAATAACCAATGGATTCTCATAAAGCACAATGGTGGCAAGTTTTAATGTAACGACACAACGACGTCACTAACGCTTGTCGCTTGTTACAGACAAGAATTTGGATATTCTGTCTCTTTTCTTGAGGTATTGTATTTTTTTTGTAGGGTAATCATTGGAGAAAATCTATTAGTTTGATTTTTTTTCTTAGACATCGTTGGTTGAGTAAATTCTATCAAAACACACAACATTACATAAAAATGTTTGTGTTAATACTAAAAACCATTAGAAGTTGTTCTCTTTGTGAAATTATGAGAAAACTCGTAAATAGTAGGCCAAGGGTGCTTACCGGTTCCGGAGTATACCGACAGATTCATCGTGACTACCTCCGTTTAACAAACTCGGAAAGTTGCCTCTATCATTCGTTCCAAGTTGATGACCAAACATTAAGTAAGAAGTTCTTCTTTTCTTCATCGTCAAAATATGATGAACAAGTCCAAAGTGATACAGTACTGTCTTTCTTTTAAAATAAGCGCTTATTCTGTGTTTTATGGAACATTTCACTGAAGCTTCATGGTTTTATATCCTTTGAGAATCATTAATAAAATTAACGAGTAGTGTGCGCGCACCTCCATATTCTGAATCGGTTGTGTTTTAGGTGAAGAAGTGTGCATTACCTATAGACCTGATGTATAGACCAGCATTCGAAAGAAGAAAGATACTAAATGAGTCTTGGAGATTTGACTGTCAATGCAACAGATGTCTAAATCCCCTTTCAACTGATATTTTTATGGTTGAAAAGTGGATCAGCAAAGTGTCATCTTTACTACATGCATATAATTGACTGTTAAAAAACATTTATGATCAGTTATGCCTCTGTTACCTTGAACTCGTACATATTGGTGTCATGAATGAAGATATTAAAAAAAAATGTATTTGAATGGCACCAATTAAGAATATCAGCAAATGCCAAAATTCGGCATCCTTTAAAAATGGAATCATTTACTTTATTTCTTTGTACTTATGAAAAATTCGGTAAATCATCAATATGATCACGGAAAAAATTAAATGAATGGGATTCCAATGCAAAGACAATCTTAAAGTTAAAGTTCTATTCTAACTCTATTAGCTGTTTTCTATAGGATAGAAATACTCGCAAGATATATAGTCTCTTGGGAACAAGGGTTGTAGTTTCAAGCCTTCTAGTAGTTCTTATAGAAATAAAGTTTCTATACAGTTTATATTGTTATACGGTCTAACGTGATTTTCCTTGGGGCAATAAAAATTCTATAACTTTTTCTATGAAAGGGTTAGAAGGCTGAAACTTTCTGTGTACTAGCACAATTATAGAAAAGAATTCCAGCCCTTATCTCGTTGTTTTTACGGAGATATGAAATTTCTTGTTTTAATAGAGCCGTATCAAACATCTATATAGACATTTGCTAACATTGCCAAGAAGTGAAAAGATAGAGATATTCCTTATTTGATACGCCTCTAATGTAAACTTAGTTCCTGGAGAAAAAATAAAAAATAACCATAACTTTTGAAAGAAGCGCCATGGGCACAAATCCTTTTAGGACTTTTACTGGGACACTCACTGTGCTCTATCGATCGGCATACAATCATTGAAGAACATTTGGCATTTGGCCAGGTTTCCTGGTTAGAAGTGTTGATTTTTCAAAATTCTTTCGTCGTTGAGGTTATACCTGCGAGAGCGATGATGTTTTTAACTTTAAGCTATATTCTAGAGTACAGTTTTGATCCAAAATCGATTAATTTTGGAGATGATGTAGCTGATAAAAAGCGCGAAAGTAATGACGGGATGTGGAAAACTCCTAAGAAAGATGATAGTTCTGCTACCGTTCAAGAAACCCGATGTGAATGAAGCAAAACACACTTCTCACGTTTTGGAATAAAAAATAAAACTTAGAGTGAAAAATGTTCTTTTTGTTAGAAAAAAGAATATTATCAACTAAGAAATGATGACTATTTTTTATGATGGTATTTTCTTGACTACATTATTCTTCTTGTGCAAGTTCGATCTTGCGACAAGCTTTGTTTATGGAGGTATATGATTTCTCCTGAGTATAATATTTTCTGAAAAATTATAAAAGATTTTTATTTTTGGTCATTTTCTTTGCTTCTTTCATTTCATAACCTACTAGAAATATGTACATGTTCATCCCACCTGTTTAATGGTAAAAAGCATTTTTCAAAAATTAAAAGGTTTTTCATATGAAAACTACCTACTTTTTCCTCGCATTGATTCGAGGCGGGAGACCGTGGTATTCGTATCGGGAGAAACGGTGTTCACCTAAGTTTGAGCTTGAAGACAGACAAAAAGTTTTCTCCGAAATATTTGCTTGAGGTCCCCCACTAGTGTTTTGCCTAAAATTTTGCACAAATACTTTTTTTCGAAACACATCGAATTATATATCCTTCGATGGAATTTTTTTGAAAATGTCAGTCAACAACAAGTATAGATCATCATCTATAAAATAATATGGAAAGATGTATAAACACGTGCGAGAAAAAATATTGTGGTCAATCAATGTTGGGCTTGTAACTTTTTTTTTTAACAATACCGTTTGTTGTTTTATTCTGTTCCTTTTTTTTATATAAGATCGCAAATTTGTTTTTTTTTGTAATTTTATTCTTTGTACAACATGTATACACGTTCTACGTATTTTTGTTATTACGTTTTTTTGCTGTTGACATTTCTTTTTCATATCTTCTTGGATGTATTTTGCTTTGTTTTTTCGGTCGCTCATAAATCTTAAAGAAAGTATAAATCAGACACTGATTATCTGAACAAACACTGCACTTTTTGTTTTCAGCAACACATATTTTCATTAATCAACGGAAGATGCTTTGGGATTGATTAAATGTCATCTTCGTACTTCATGCATTAGAATAGAATTAGAAGAATGAAACTTGCAATGTTATACTATGAATTTTGTATCAGAACGAGTCAAATTACCTACGTTGAAAAGTTTTTAGGTTTTCGATCGAACAAGTTCTTTCGAAAAAACAAAAAAAGTCTTATTTTTTAATACGAAATATATTCGAAACATGAAAATAAATCTGTGAGAACTTGTTCGTTCGGTCTGTTAAACGACACACTATAGTTTGGAAATATCTTGAAAGTCTGGAATCAGTTTCCAGAGATCCGATGTTTAAAAAAAAAGAAAAGAAAAATACTTGAAAGACACAACATGAGAAATGAACATCAGATTCGTGATTAGCGATAATCTATGGTTTTGATATTTTAAACTCGACTTATTTGTACTGGCTTTGTTTAATAACCGCTTTTTCATTATAGAGAAGCTCAAGCCCTAGAAATTGTACTGGTCGTTATTGGTTTAAGCTTTTCTATAATGAAAAAGCGGTTATTAAACAAAGTTTATTTAAGAGAACCTCTTAAATACTACTTAGGGCATACCAAAAGTAGTGGCAGTGGTATTTTTATCCCTTATAGAAAGGTTAAAGAAACTTTCTTTTTATATAGTCTGATAGAGAAAAGAATGTTCTATTTTTCTATGCTATTTG